TTACACGGGGAGATCATATCGCTCAAAAGTAAATCTTCATTGAACAAGTTGATACCTATCGGTCACACAACAGACACCGCGCATCCTGACAGCACACAGCATTCTAGATTTCATCTAAACATTGAATCACGAATTGCATTGGGGTCAAAGCCCTCACTTTTTTTGACGGAAATACACGTTTTGAAGCACTAGGAGTCCGATTCAAACAAACTCTCGTTGATGTCGGTCCGTCTGAACTCTCATTTCCAGCCAACCGACTGGTCCGATTCAAACCAAATTTGGTAGGTACATATATTCTTAAAAAATGAAGAGCTGGGTAGAATTGCACGCGCAGGTGGCTGTGTTAGCCACAGCAATTTTTTTATAGGTATATCAACCATATGTATATAAAATTATATTTGAAAAATTTTTCGTATTTCGCCAAATAGAAGAGATATTGGGGTGGTCCTGGGGTGGTGGATGACCAAACGAAATAATGCCAATGTCAAAATAGTATAAGATTCTTCCGTTTGGTTTGCCATTTTATCAGAATAATTTCATGTTATAACAAAGCCTGAAAATTTTCGATTTCGCAAATTCGCGTTTTCCACACGCAAATTCGTGCAAAAGGTTGGCTCCTTCTGAGCGCAATCTGTCGCCTGTTCGTTCGGCGGTTCATTAATTTCGCGCGCAAATGACCGTTGGAATCTGAAGATACAATTCAGATCAAATTTACGAATTAAAAATTTACAATATTCATTTTTTCGGAAATATACAGCGTGTCCAAGATAATAATAAGCATCGTGGGGAAATCGAAAACCATAAGAGACTCACAGTTGGTTAAATTTAAAAAAATGCGTATTTTAGGACTTAGTAAAATTATGTTTTAAACATTTTGAAATTCCGATATTCGAAAACAAACGAAATTAATCATATTCGTTTTTATTTTCTGGCCCTAGTTGAAAAATATCAAAAAAACAAATAACCTTCAGATTAGGGTGGTTTCTGCTCCGTACTAAAGTCAGTACTTCTTGGCTGGGTGCCTTAGGGAGATTTCTAGGTACAGGTCTTTTGTTGCAAAGGCCAAGTTGGGCTCTTTCCACGACATCATATGCCAATTTTCCTCCTTCAAATTACGTACGGTCCACATTGAGTAATTAGGGCACATGGGTGTAGGCTCGTGAAATTATATTTTATTGGTTAGAGCGATTTTTAGGAGTGGCTTCCCCTAGTTAATGGTTTAGAATTAGGGTTGATTCGGCGGTATTCCAACATTTGATTATTTTAAGTTTTCATACGAGTTAAGCAGCAAATCAGCTCTTAGGTCACTGATCAGTTCTTCCTTGGGTGATGATAAACATAATCTGAAAACAGAATTGAAAAATTTGAAACCGTTCGCGAGTTCTCATGTACACAGATGCCGGGCAGAACGTTCAAATGACGTGTCTAAGTATTACTGAAAACATAATTTGAAACTACGAAACCGTTCGTAAGTAGTACAAGGTGGTTCAAATTCGTGCCTCATCATTGGGATTTCCGTAACGGTGAGAGATATAGTGTAGGTTAAATTGGGGCAAAGTTGCTCCTTTTGGTGACTAAGAAAACGTTTTTAACATTTTTGTAAAATCTTTGCAAATAACTGAGATATCACCGAAAAACCAAAAATTTCAAATTTCGTTTACATTTTCTCTAACTGTAGTCGTAAATGGACGGTTCCCGTTGGCACTTTCTCTGAGTACCTTTTTCCGGAGAATCTGAATCTATTATCAGAACTTTCATACCACGCTAGATGTAGAAGCTACAGGCTACTCTACTCGCTCATTTCTTATGGGCACCATATTGGATTTTTACGTAATGAGGTAGCGGAGAAAAATAATGACATGTCACACTTTATACTTTGACATGAATTTACAAGAAAACGCAGAGGTTTTACATTCATTTCTAAACAGAATACCCACGGGTACCTAGATCTTTCTGAATCCACATGGCTATGATGGCGATGGATTCAAATGCATTTCGCTGATGCGCTGTTTGAGATAGATAGATTCACCTGTTGCATGATAGATGAGGTCTCCCGTGGTATCACAGAATTCTAGGATCTACCGTTTCTACTACGGAGTAAAAAGGTAGTTTTGGTCTACAATGAATTTATATTTAATCGTTAAGAATGTCGAAGAGGAGCAAAGTGTGTCCATGCGCAAGTAGCGTTCCAATTGAGCAGTGCTACCATCCACCTGTTTGCCGTCATCTCTATTAAAGAACGGACGGGATCTTTGCAAAGTGCAGGGCTGTATGAATTAAATTATTAATTTCTGCGTGGTGCCAAGACTTTTGCTAGGAAGGCAATTTAGCCTTTGACATAGGGCAAGTTGACGCGATGAAACGCACCTTATCCTTCGGACTATCTAAGGATAAACTGGTAATGATGTGTCCTAGTTTAATTTCGTCCCTCTTCGTCTAGAAACCATGGACAGGAGATAATTACAACTTAGCGGAGGTCCATTTCATGAGGGCTTCTTCCAAGTCAGAAATTGAACCTTTCAGTTTAGCATGCTGCACACCAATTCATTTACTGATTCGCAAGGGCTCAAGAAGGCTGGTTCCGTAGAGGAGTTGTTCTCGGTACGTCAATTTTGTGATAAGTAAGCCACGTGACAGTTCACATCTTTCAATCTGCTGATGAGAAGTTTGATAGCAGCATGCTTCTGACGTAGAATAGCATCGACGGCCGATGATACGATGGAAAAAAAAGGAAAAAGGCTAACGTGTTTCATTCCTCCGGCACCCCTGACTACAGGGATACCGGAGGCGGGCTGCTCAGGGCTTCCTGGCCCTCTTCAGCCAGAGAACGGGATTGTAAGGATGGGTAAAGTTAGGGATTGGAACGGAAGGAACGGAGTTAGGGTGCTGAGGGGGAGAGTACTGCTCCAGCATTCGCCTCGTAGATACGATGGGGCTTCCAAGTAACTTTACATCCGTGACCACCTTCATGCCCTACTATGGTTCCGTCATTCAGGTACCAGAGATCCTAAATCAGGTCTTGGATTATTGGAAGATAAGAGCTCCGACTTGAGGAGATATGTGCTCCGTTCCGAAGAAAAGGGAAGAGGGGGTTGCATAACACTGGTATACGGGAAGCTGTAGATGGAGGGGGTGTTTGCCGTTTTACTTCTGCAAGCATTTGATCTCTTTCTATCCAGTTGAAGGCACTTCGACGGTCTACCTTCAAGAAGACGTAATTCGTGTCTTTGTAAAGTTACCATTCTGGGACCATATTTTTAATTTATCATGTTTTACAAGACCACTGAACTAAAGTTCACTCTTCGATTTTTTTTCATTCCAGGCAGGAATCCACACAGAACCTTCGCTAGTCCCGCCTGTCGCTTCTTTGACAGCACACAATGAATTTTGCTTTTTTTCGAATATTTGACTCCGCCAAGCTTTAAAGGTACTATTTTAAGAAAAACAACGGTTCGTCTCTGAATAATAGCATAGTAGCGTCATTGACAATGGTCTTGAAATCGCGTGACTACTTGAGATTGAGGAATTCTCGTTTACCAGAACTTATAGGTATGAGGTATGAGCATGCTGTACATACATAGGTACCGACAAGATATTCGGGAAATTGATTAAACTGATCAATTGAAAGGTGCGTAAAGTGCAGGACACTTACATACTTCTTTCTTTGTATTCATAGTATAATCTGATTCATCCTGTGGTATATCAATAATTACTAATTAGTGTAGGCACTATTTGTACGTGTTTATCTTATCGTGTTTATCGTTTGCTACTAGAAAAGTATAGGTGCGAGGTATACCTTTATAGTTTTAAATTGCTCCAAATATCGTACCTAGTGTAATATACTACTTGAAGTGAAATGCTCAGTGTTTCCCTTTTCCAAGCAAAAAAATGAATGAATTTGTGCGAGATCAGTAATTAAACACAAAAAAAGTTGGGAGGTGCGAAGTTTAATTGTAGAAAACTTAGGTACAGCGTGTGAATGTTTTGCCATGGAAAATTCGAAGGCAAACATACAAACATTGCAATTTGTTTATTAGAAATCAGAATATAAATGCTTCATACTATTGGTTATTTTTAGTTTAATGTGCGTGTACCTATAGGTCATATTTGTATGAAATTCTCCTACTTTAATAACCTATAAATCAAAAGTCACTCTGAACTTTATGCCTCTGTCTTATTGGAAGCTATTAATCGTTCAGTGTGTTTCGGTCAGGGCCTTTTTTATATTTTTGATCGGATTAATGACAGTTTAGATTTTTAAATACACTATTCGATTCTAACAACAAATATTTATGAATGAGCTCAATGTGTGTTCTGTATATTATCGATGACGTTTTTGTAATCACAAACTGGAGCCGTCTGTCGATATCGCGTATTTGTCAATGCATCTTAAACTTTAGTTAGACTTAAATACAGTTTTACCCTCACTCTAGGGTCGGGTCGAATAATTAAACAAACAAGCTTATGGCCTTGATTGATCTTTTTGTTTAGTAGAGTTTAATTGAAAATGATCGATGATACTGCTCAAGTATCAGTAGTCCGCCCATTAAAAAGAAAATCTCGAAAAGAACGCACCAAAAGGAGAGAAAGATATCTCTTACAGCACGGGTTTGTGTTTGAAATTGATGATACATCTCCAATCCGATCGCCATCTTCAACTTTGCAGGAAAACAATAACAGTTTGACTCGTCAACGTTTGTTTAATAATGATTCTGGGTTTCCGGTAAGGACTAGAATTTAAATTTTTCCATTTTCATCATCTTGAACTGCATGATTCACATGCGCGTGTTTGCAAAAGTTTATCGTACTTTTGGGTTGCTCAATGTTTTGCGTTTCATCAAAATTGTTATAAATAACCGTTCGCGAGCCTGTTACTTGACCATCATTATTGATTTGAAACACATATTAATCGCCAAGTATTTTAATCAGTGAGCGGCGTCTAATTAGTATCCATTTCTCTTTGGATCACGTTACAACAAGGTATAAGAAGCCATTGAAGTTTCTCCTCGTTTTACATAAGAGAATAGTGAAACCTTATTCGTATTTTATAGTTATAGGTGTAAACAACATACTGTTTTTTTTCTTATTGTGTGTTAAACAGTGATAATTTGTCCTAAATGCAAGTGTCGTCGTCTAGTGCCCAAATTAATATGTTGTTGCAGAATTAAAACAAACCGCAAAAAATGAAAGCGAGTTGTGAGCACGAAGAAGATGGTAGTGTAGATAATGATATTAATGGTGTAAGTAGTGGTGAACAAATCACAACTAATGAATCTAAACGATCAAATTTTGATAAACTAAAAAGACGTTATTCCTTCAGTGAAAAATTCAAATTTGGAAAATCCTCTTCTTCCTTTAATTTGACTGACACGAAACAGTCTCCCTTAATACGTTGCGGGTCAAGTTCTTTCCCAAATATTCTACTAGTGGGGCCCTATGATATTTTGAACGACAGTAAATCGGAGTCGGACGTTACTTTAGAGGAAACCTCGTGGAAAACTGCCGAAAGTTCCGAAAAAGAGAGTAGCGATTCCAGATCTTGTAAAAGCGTCATTAGCGTCGAAAGTACTAGATACACTCTATCTGTTGACAAATTTTCAACGCCCATATTTGTGGAAAGAACAGAGTCGGTAGAAGACATGCAGAAAATGCCCGCTTATGGTGACTTGATATTGGACGCTTCTTCCACAACGGTAACTAAATTATTGTGCAATTGATTTTATGCAATCGTGAGCACCTTATTATAATGTAATAAAATATAGGAAATTAAATAGGTATCGTTCACAAGGATAGTGACAGTATTAGAAACAGTAAATCAATATTTTATTAGTTGTAGAAGTGCACAAAGAGATAAACGTGTACTGTAAATATATAGGTGGTTTCTCAAAGTGATACTCGAGATAATGATTTTTTTTCAGTCAAATCTTAATCAGAGCGGAGTTAAACCGAAAGATCATCTTTACAAAATATTGGTGATTGGCGATTTGGGTACAGGAAAAACGTCTATAATAAAAAGATACGTCCATCAGTTTTTTTCCCAACATTACAGGGCGACTATTGGCGTCGATTTTGCGCTTAAAGTTTTAAACTGGGATGCCAATACTCTTATTAGACTTCAACTATGGGATATTGCTGGTAATTGTATATTCGTAGTTAACGCAATGTGTTTAGCAATAGCATTTTTTAGGCCAGGAGAGGTATGGAAACATGACAAGAGTCTATTACAAGGAAGCCGTTGGTGCCTTTATTGTGTTTGATGTAACTAGAGTTAACACCTTTGAATCTGTTTCAAATTGGAAGGCTGATCTTGATTCTAAAGTACAATTACCCGATGGTTCGCCGATTCCTTGTGTCCTTTTAGCCAACAAAGTAAGCTAGATGTTACGCTCTTACAATTTTATTCTCAACATTTTTCAGTGTGATCAACAAAAAGAGGGACTGATTAATTCTAAGTCAAAGATGGAAGAATATTGTAAAGAAAAAGGTTTTTCATCGTGGTATGAAACTTCAGCCAAAGAAAATATCAATATCGATGAGGCAGCTCGTACGTTGGTTAGTCAGGTAACTTCCAAGCATGCGTTAGCCATTTCTAATGACGAGTTTCAGATACTTCTCAATGATAAGTTAATAAATGATTCAAATAAGGATGGTGACCAGTTTTCGTTAGCACATACAAACGATGTCAAAAAGAAATCGTGTAATTGTTAGTAACTTATATTTTTACACCAGTGAGCCCCTCTAAAGCAGCTATGACGTGTTTTTAATTAAATTGCCTACTTTTTTAAGTATTTATAAATGTTTTATGTATGTATAGGTGAAATTGTTATATCAAAAACGTTTTAATATTCATTCTGTACTATTTTAATAAGAGAGTAAGGTTGCCCAGCGAATGTTGTAGAGGTAGTCCCTATCTGTACTTAAATCTTTAGACATTTGTGTACTACCCAAAGAATTATTTTATGCTGTACATTTGTCCATTTTTCAAATTAAATATCCACATTTTGTTATTTGACCCGCTTTTAAAAATCAGAATTAACCGCCGCTAGGGCATTGTTCACGAATGCTCTAGACCCCACGATTTAAACTTGATAAAGACCTGCCGCACCCACAAGCAGAGCATAAAGTAGGTGACACTAGTGCCGCCTAGTAAAGGCTGTGTGTCGCGCGCACCCCGCAGTAGTGTGTATAAGGATACCAGTTACAAAAACTTTTCAACTATCTTTCAAAAGCAAAAACACCTGTGCGGACCTCGGACATAGGTACCGATGGATAGACCACCTTTGCTCTGTCGGATAGTAGGGCAGGTGAAAGAGGCGGCCGCTTTAGTCATATGAGGTTGAGGGCAGCTGTAAAAGAAGGAAAGAAGAAAACACCTTGGTAGAACTCAGACCTTGAAAGGGTTCGTACGGAGGTTCACAGGCTCTTTAATAGGACCATGCCATGCCAAGTTCAAAAACTTCGTAAGATCCTTTTGATGGACCCGGGGCAAAAAGTGGGGACACCGAGGCTTCCAGGCGGCAGATATACGTCTACCGCGGGTGTGAGAGCTTCTCACATGTATGTATCCTGGAAACACTTTCCAGAGGCTCTTGGGACTACTTAACTTAGGGCCCACCAAAAGGAGTTACCCGGGTCGATGTAAGGCCGATCGACTGGAAAGTAGCTGCCCGGGTGGTTACCGAGGTATCTCTGAGATGGGCGGTCAACACGTTCAACGCATTTAAGAGTGCACGGCCGGACGTGATGGGGGGGGGGGGGCCTGGTGCGTTTTTAGATATCGAGGGTGAGGTTAAGAACACCATGTTCGATTCAATTAGTGAGGCTTCTGAAAACTTAGGCATTGATGGGTCCATCGTAAGATAGCAGAGCCATGCTCGGAAGCAGTCATTATATCCTCAATTGGGATAACGGAGATGGGCTCATTGGTCACTAGATGATGTCCGCAGAGTGGGGCGTTGTCCCCGCTGCTGTGGTTCCTGGCACTAGACGGACTCCTCCGAACCCTGGACGAGGGGGAAGCGTATATACAGGGATATGCGGCGTCATAACTGGGAAGTTTCCAAACATCGTGAAAGAGCTCATGCAGGAAGTTCTTGAACAGGTGGATAGATGGTCTTTCCGCTAACCCGGAAAAGACTAAGGTTGTTCCATTTACGAATAGAAGGAGAGCAGACCTTGATGGGCCCACTCTTCAAGGACGTCAACTGGGTCTTACCAGGTCACTGAAATATCTGGGAGTCATCATTGACTCCCGCCTGACCTGGAAATTGTACATTGAACAAATAAGCAAAAAAGCCACTGCGTGTCTATGGGCAAGTAGCAGAGCTTTTGGTTGTACATGGGGCTTGAACCCTCCACTGGTATATTGGATTTACACTGCAGTGATAAGGCCAATAATACTGTATGGTGCACTTGTATGGTGACCTGCCATGCGCAGAGCAACCTATACAGGAAGCAGCTAGTCTGGGAGCCACTGTACACCTGAAAACTACGCCAACTTTGCCCATGAAGGCACTTCTGGCACTGCCTTTTTTTGAGCCCCGAAAAAAAATTGTCTCAGATCGACCCGGAAAAAAAATTCTTATAGAATGTGGCCTGTAGAATCCACAATTTCAAACAGTTCCAAGATTGGGCTACTAGTTCAAAAGTTACAGCCCTTTGAATTTTTTTTCGAAATTGGTTTCTAGTCTTTAACTTTTGATTGAGAAGTCTGATCGAAAAAGTACGAATTGATTTGGATTCTACGCACCCAAATTAATAAGAAAAAGTGTTTTCCCGAGAAATTTTGGTGTAGTCAATTTTTGGTAAAAAGGAAGGTTATACACTGCCTTTTTTTGAGCCCCGAAAAAAAAATTGTCTCAGATCGACCCGGAAAAAAAATTTTCTTATAGAATGTGGCCTGTAGAAACCACAATTTCAAACAGTTCCAAGATTGGGCTACTAGTTCAAAAGTTACAGCCCTTTGAATTTTCTTTCGAAATTGGTTTTCTAGTCTATAACTTTTGATTGAGAAGTCTGATCGAAAAAGTACGAATTGTTTTGGATTCTACGCACCAAAATTAATAAGAAAAAGTGTTTTCCCGAGAAATTTTGGTTTAGTCGATTTTTGGTAAAAAAGGAAGGTTATACACTGCCTTTTTTTGAGCCCCGAAAAAAAAATTGTCTCAGATCGACTCGGAAAAAAAATTTTCTTATAGAATGTGGCCTGTAGAATCCATAATTTCAAACAGTTCCAAGATTGGGCTACTAGTTCAAAAGTTACAGCCCCTTGAATTTTTTTTCGAAATTGGTTTCTAGTCTATAACTTTTGATTGAGAAGTCTAATCGAAAAAGTACGAATTGTTTTGGATTCTACGCACCAAAATTAATAAGAAAAACTGTTTTCCCGAGAAATTTTGGTGTAGTCGATTTTTGGTAAAAAAGGAAGGTTATACACTGCCTTTTTTTGAGCCCCGAAAAATAAATTTTCCTATAGAATGTGGCCTGTAGAATCCATAATTTCCCGAGAAATTTTAGTGTAGTCGATTTTTGGTAAAAAAAGGAAGGTTATACACTGCCTTTTTTTGAGCCCCGACAAAAAATTGTCTCAGATCGACTCAGAAAAAAAATTTTCTTATAGAATGTGGCCTGTAGAATCCATAATTTCAAACAGTTCCAAGATTGGGCTACTAGTTCAAAAGTTACAGCCCTTTGAATTTTCTTTCGAAATTGGTTTCTAGTCTATAACTTTTGATTGAGAAGTCTGATCGAAAAAGTACGAATTGATTTGGATTCTACGCACCCAAATTAATAAGAAAAAGTGTTTTCCCGAGAAATTTTGGTGTAGTCGATTTTTGATAAAAAAAAGAAGGTTATACACTGCCTTTTTTTGAGCCCCGAAAAAAAAATTTCCCTATAGAATGTGGCCTGTAGAATCCATAATTCCCCGAGAAATTTTAGTGTAGTTGATTTTTGGTAAAAAAGGAATGTTATACACTGCCTTTTTTTTTAGCCCCGAAAAAAAATTGCCTCAGATCGCCTCGGGAAAAAAATTTTCTTATAGAATGTGGCCTGTAGAATCCATAATTTCAAACAGTTCCAAGATTGGGCTACTAGTTCAAAAGTTACAGCCCTTTGAATTTTTTTTCGAAATTGGTTTTTTGCCTATAACTTTTGATTCAGAGGTCCAATTGACAAAAATTAATCAGAAAGTGTTTACCTGATCAATTTGGGAGTGGTCGATTTTTGGTGAAAATAATAATTTATTAGCATAATTATGTTATTGTGCAAGGCTATAGTCTTGCCTATTATTTAGTCGGAAAAATGAATTGTCTGACATCGTCCAGAAAAAAAACATATTCGTATACATTTTGACCTGTAGAATCCATAACTGCCAACGATTTGAAGATTGGGCCACTAGACCAAAAGTTTTGAATTTTTTTCATAATATGTAATAAATATAAATTCAAAGTTCAATTCCATTTTTCCGCTAATATGCGCTGAATTTTATTCATCATGCTCAGCAACAGTCACTATATCCGAGCCTCATAAATCTTAAGAACATTGTGTATTATCCGAGGTGACAATGAAACCATCCACTTTATGCAAGTCGAACGAGTTGCGCATTTCTGACTTACCTACATATTATGTATATGTAGATATGCGAATAATGCTTCCACTTTACCCGAGTTTTCGGTTATCCGAGGTACGTCTCCCCCATGTTAGTCAGGGCAATCAAGGTTTTTCCGTATGCATATGCAATGATAGTCATTCGGTGCTGAGGGCCCTGTCAGCACAGGTTTCAATCGGCTACAGTAGTACATGATTGCAGGCGAACTCTAGATAAGTCAGCTGGCGGAAGAGTTCGTTCGTGAAGGCAGTGATGGGGTCTTCCTTGGGCCCAAGCCTATCCCAACAATTGCTACCTCTGTTGTCGGGGCCAGGATCAAAGATTGAGTCACCAGCCAATTCTTAGCTCAGTGGTAACAAGCAACCGGACTTGGTCAGTTCAGGTAGTCCAGGGTTTTGTTTAAAAATAAAAGAAATGACATATTTAAAAAAATAAAACTTTAATTCCAAAGCAAATAAACGTTAATTCCAAAATAAAAAGTAGCAAATAAATAAACGTTAATTCTATACAAAAGCAACAAATAAATAATGGATAATTTTCAAAGAAAAATAACTAGCTCATAAATAGACGTTAATTCGGTATAATACATATATGAAAATAATTGTCTTAAACTCACTACTCTTCATTTCCTGATTCCTCTTCATCACCATCTGAAAAAAGATTTCATCATCATTTTCATGGAGAACTTTTACATATACAAAGCATCAAGAGACCTCTTTACTATGTTTATGGTTACTATTTTACAGTAAAATGGTTTGTCTTGGCATAATCCATCCATCGTCTCTTGCCATCTAATACAAGATAATCATAAATCTCCTTTTTAGAACAAAGGTAATATTTTACGAGGACCATTATGTATTTCTGTTTCCTACATTCCCAAAGCGCGTTTTACATGCTGAAAGTTATTGTGAAAGTTGAAATTCTCTTAGCCGAGGGCATGCGCAATATGTGCTTTTCTTGAAAGTGAAATAACTTTCAACTTTTCGGTTCGGACGTGAAATATTTCACTTTCAGCTGAAATTTTAGGGTTGCCAACTTTAAGATTACATATTTAAAGTTAATGTTTTGTTGTGTCATTTGATGGTCATTTGTGTTGACTGGCGTATAGGCAGATCATTGAGCAAAACTTACAAATGCACAGAAATAGAAGAGAAACAAGTTATGGAAGGCGCCAATCTAACCTATATTTTTTAGGTTGGTATTAGCAATATCTCACTTGAAAGTGAAATAGAAACTTTCACCACGTAAAACGGGCAATCGGCCCTAACAACCACTTTCGTAGGTACCTATAATTTGACTAGTTTTTCTAAAGCACAGAACACTATTTCTTTTCCTGTAAGAATTAAAAAAAAAACAGTATACACATGGCCCCTATAAACAGATGCCAGACAGACAATAGTTACGAAAACATGTTTTCGCTGAGACAGTAATCATTGTCTGGTGGAACGTCCCATCGTCGGATAAATCAAAATCCGAAATTCTCAAACAAAACACCGGAGTAAGCCAGGAATGAGTGTTTAGTTCAGTGCTCCTTGTCATATTTGTAAATCACCTAACCAACTACATATTCAATGGAGAAGTGTACATGCTGTGGATTATTGTGAATGCCAGAGAAATCAGTACAGGAAACAAAACACTAGCATTGTTAATAAAGTTTCATCGAGGAAAGAGTGTGCACAAGGATAAGAAGAGGTGAGAACAAGGTAACAGGTGGAAAGTCACAAAATTCCGGGGAAATGATTCTTTTCAAGGTCCTATTGATGGTCTACATACAAACTAAAAAGTGACCTCAATGAATCATTCAATATTATTGTTTAAAAGCAAATATCACATATGTTAATCCATCCACAAAAATGTTCATTGTTTACTATTGTGCCACAATAACAATATATTATCGGTAACAACTGATATTCAGACGTATCTAAACAAATTCAAAAATATTATATAAATAATTTAACCAAATTTAGTTTTTTTCATTAGAGCATTACCTCCTCCACTCCTGCCTTCATTCCTATTAGCATTATATACCCCCCCCCCAATTATAAGTATTCTGTATAATTAACTTACCCAAAAGATTATTAGGGATGGTATATATAGCTGCTGTAAATGGATAAATGTAACAAACATACTCAAGTGCTTAGCAAGTTATCTTACCATAAAATTCATACAGTGGGACATTATCGTTTCGTATCGTTATTGTCCCTACAAAATACACTAAATAATATCACAAGTATAGAAACCGTACTAGTGCTAGTTACCGAACTTTCGTGACATTTGCACATACGGAAGCGCCCCTGGAGGAGTATTAGATTCAATGTATCCCTGAGGTAAAATTAAAACATCTAACCTGTCATCTAAACAAAATGAAAGAATAAATTCTGTGTATAACTTAACGGAAGAAAAAATGGAAAAATAGAAAATAAAAGAGGAAATAGTACGAAAAGAGATCAAGATAAGTGCAGGAAACAGTAACGCATGAAATCAAGATAGAAGGAATAGTCGACTGGGTTCAGAAAAAGTTGTAAGGAAAAACAAATGAACATTAAAGAAAGGCCAAATGATACAGAGAGAAAAAACAGATCATCAAGCTAATGGTTAGCAATAAAAAAAACTAGTAACTAAATGCAAACAACTGAAAAGTGTAATTGTAAACGAGTTATGTAAGCGAATTTCAAACAAATGTGGTCAGTGAAAATAAAATTTTCTTTTTGCACGTACCACGATTTTTGAATGAAATAAAAATCACGATTTTGCACTTTTGGTAGATCAAAATGCATGTGGTGATTGAAAATACATGAAATAAATAGAATATGTGAAAACTACAGAGGGATTCCTCAGATGAGTATTTCTCTAAAAGCACAGATATAGGTACAGAAAGAACTGTGCTAAAAGTATATTAAACAAAGCTTCTGATGTTTCAATGCATGGCATGAGAAATAAACCTCTTTGTAGGCGACCCCTTTCTACTTGTAAGTATGCTTCAATAAATCTTATTATTATTATGAGATATTTACCTTGCTCAAATTGAGGGTCGGGAATTGGTACATAGCTAGGTCCAGGTGACGTTGTATTCTCGAGCTCTACAATTTCTAGCACCAGCTCCTCATTTTCATGAGTCATGTGAAACTCTTCATTAAAAGGCTCCGAAACATTGTCAGCTTGCGACGAAGACATGGCATCACTTGTGGATGGTTCACCATCATCCTTCATTTCTGCATTGTCGTTTTTCACAGCGGGCGACTTTGGTGTAGTTGGATCATTTTCACTAGACAAACCAGATCCCGTTGCCTGTTCTTGATCTCCGTCTTTTTGTGGACTGGCGCTAGAAAAAGGATTTCCAGATAACTGTATCACTAACCAAACATGCAAACGGTGAAAGCAAAGATCGAAATTTAAGAAATCGCAAGTCAGTATACACAGTGATCCAATCAACTGGTATTGGTGAGATTAAATGTCTCAGTTTTATGTACCCAATTCAAACTCCCTTTAGAACTGGCTGATCCAATCCAAGACCCGCAATTTCTCTACAGTAGCAGTCAAAATATGACACTAGACTACAGCTAATAAATTAGTCTTAAATATCTAGCGATATATTGAACAAACAAAATCACAATATACTTATGGGATCCATTGGTTCCTCATTTATGGGTGTAATATATACTTGATATTTTTTTTTGTCGCTTAAGCTAAAAATTAGGTAAATATTTTCAATTTTTCGTTGAAAATATAAGTTCCAAATGAGACCTCAGACTATAGCTCTTAGTTTGAATGTGAACTTTGCTTTAGATCAAATGTTTATGCCTGCTGTGCTAGCAGTGATGTCACTACACGCGTACGCGTTTTTGAAAATTGGGGTATTGTACAATAGCCAAAAATGCTCCAGAATTTTTGCAATTGTGATTTTGCAATGAATGGTACTCGCGATTGACAAAAAAAATCGGGAAGGAGCTACAAGAACGTCCCATTCAAAAATTCCCACTTTGGTAGAGCCACTCTTACGAAACTAGGAAACGGGAAGGGAGCGAATTGAGGAGAGAAGAAAGAAAAATTGATGGAAGAAGTAAAGGAGGAATTAAGAAGAACGGCTGATGAGACAAAGGAGCAAAGATGATGGTAGATATGGGAGGATTAATGGAGGAAATGGAGAGAAGGGAAGAACAATGGAAGGAAAGGAAAGGATAACTAAACTCAAAAAAAAAATAAGAAAAACACGAAAATAACGATAAAGGAAGTAGAGATGGAAAAAGAAAAGAGAGAGAAAGGACGGAGGAATGGCTAATAGAAAACCTCCAAGTAGGGGCGAATGTAAAAGAGGCGAGAACATTTGAAGTAAGGGGAAATAAGGTAGTAATCGTGGAACTAACATGGAAAAAAAAAGAGGGAGGTTATGAGGGGAAACGGGAAAGTTAAAGGTGAGCGGGGTATACATAGATAACTAGTTGATATACGAAGAAAGAAGCGTGCAGAGAGCAATTAGAGAGGTTGCGAAAAGGGAAAGGAAGAGGAGAAACTAATAGCGAAAGAGAAGATAGAGGGCACAGACACAAACAACAAAACAAAAGAGAAAAACGAAATAAAAATTAACTTTCAAATTTGTTTTTTCGATTTTAATAGCCTTTATGGACATTTCATGCCTTAACGAGGATAAACATGAAGACAAAGACAGACAAACAGATAGACAGACATATCAAGAGCGCAAAAGTAATTTTTGAAAAGGAAAGTGCACTAAAAATGGGTAAGGGCGAAAATGACAATGTAACGGGAGTAGATTGTAAAGACGCTCAATTCTGGGAGTTTGTAAAAGGATACTTTAAAAGGAAGAGCAAATGGAGGTATATTAACAGGGGTAAACAAAGGAATAAGGAAATGGGAGGGGGAGGGAAAGAAGGAAAGAATACAGGTCAGATGAGTAGAAGTGGAGGGGAATAAAATGAGAGTGATAACGATATACAACAAAGAACCAATGAAGGGCTTAAAAAAATATGCTAGATGAAAGAGAGGAGGAGGGGCTAATATGTTGGGGGGAGGGGGGGTAATTTTAATGCCGGAACAGGAGCATAAGGTTTCATTCGGACCACCAACCGATGGAATTGAGTCTAAACAGGAAGTTAAGATCAAGCAATGAAAAGACTCTACTTTCATATCGAAAAATGGTATTTCGACCTTTTACCAGACAATCCTGGAATCAGAAGTTGACCAAATGTCGTCACCGTACGCCTTCAGGAACAGTTATGGACCACGGAGCTGTCTAGAAGGAGACTAAAGGAACAAGAAGTAGGAGGGAATATAAAGGAGGAGTGGAATAATATAGACGGAAGTATTAAAAAAACAATAAAGTGGAAACATAAAATGATTTGGGGGGGGGGGGGAGAAAAGAGTGGTGGGACAAAAGAAGATAGAAAAATGATGGAGAAAGAAAGAATACGAAGAGCAAATCAGAGAAATAAAAAGTGTGGGAAGAGTAATTACTTATAATGATGACGGCGTATAGAATCTATGCAATGATACTGAAAGAAAGAGAAATGTAAGAGAAGAGGATGTTGGAGGTAACACAAATAGGCTTCAGAAAAGAACAATTATCGGCTGCATGAATGCATTACACAGATTGGTGGAAATGGAATTCGAAATAAAAAGGCTGAAAAGGTGTTTCTCCTAGACTTACAGGCAGCGTTTGACAGAGTGGAAAGAGAAACAGTATTGAAGATGATGGAAGATAGGAAAATGGACAAGAAGTTAAAGGACAGAATCGGGTAAGAATAGAAGGGGCGGGGTCTGAAGTGCTTTGGACATGTAAAGACAAGGATGCCCACTTAGCCCAACCTTATTTAATCTCTATTTCAGAGAGAAAAAAAGTATTAAGACAACGCCAAGGGGGAGGGATAGTAGTGGGAAGAAGAAAGATATGGTCTCTGGCATACGCGGATGTCGCAGTGATCAGGGCAACAGAGGTAGAACAAATGCAGGAAATGACGGAAAGAATGGAAAGATATTGGGAAAGGAAAAAAATATGGAACTAAATATAGAAAAGTCGAAGACAATAAGATGTGGGAAGGGGGGTGGAAGGAAAATAGAAAGAATAAATAGAAGTGAGAGAAATAAAATATTTTAGGGTACCAAAGGCAAAGAAACAATGTGGTAAATGTGCAGATAAGAGAATTAAGGAAACAGTGGTCACGATGAAACAGGTGTGAGGAATTGGAGAGAACGGGTTCAAAAATGATTTTAGAACAAGAAAGTAGCTGTTCGATGCAATTGTAAGAAGGGTGCTCATGTATGGAATGGAGGTATGGGGGTGGAAGGAATGGGGGGAACTGGAAGTAGTACAAAATGGGTATTAGGGGTAAAAGGAAAGGACACCAAATTGTATATTAGAGGAAGAAACTCAAATGGAAAAGATAAGGATAGCGTCGGGAGCAGAGCGGTTGATTCGAGGAAAGGGGCCAAGAGAGAAAGCAAACTGGTATGCGAGAAGAATTAAAGAGGAAAATACGAGGGAAAATATTACGAAAGAAATGCAGAAGCGATGTAAAGCGAACTGGCAAAAGGGCTATGGATGCACAAATACAACAACAGAGGGTGAAGATAGAGAACGCACGAGGAAGTAGATCTACTAAGGGGGTGGTTACCAAAACATTTGTAAAATGGAAGAAAAAAATGTAGAATATGTGGAGAGGACAGAGCGCACAGTACACAGTCAGCAATCTTCTCCATTTACGGATTACTATACATAGTGTCAACGAAAGCTCTTGCACCCAAACTTTATCAGTTGTATTGATCAAGGGGTGATCAGAAATTATTGAAAAGTACATGTACTGATTATGATTATGAGGAAGAAGGAAATTGGTGAACGACCTGAAGGAGAGAGAAGGAGGATATATGAAGGAGTAAAGAGAAAAGCAGAGGCAGGCATAATCTTGCTCGGGAAAGATCTCATGTTGACGATCAGAATCACCTTGACAAGGGTTTGTGTGCCCTGGGTAAGGGCATTGATTTACTGTTAGTGCCGAAAAATGATTTGGTCAAGTATCTGTGCGATACTGGCAGAATATTGACCAATTTATTTCACCGTGAGTCTCCGACAAGGAGAAATCTGATTTACTCCTCCTCCCTTTTCTCTTCCTCGGGTGAAAAAATAAAATTGACAAAGAGTTTCGAAACAGTCAGCCACGACCTGAGATTTCCCTGCCACTCAAATCATTAATAAAAATACAAAATAGAGGCCCAAGCTTAGAGCCCTCTTGACCCCCGATGTAAATAACCAAAAAAATCATACACAATTACCATTCTACCACTAGGTACCGTCCGAAATTTTGTGGACATAATTACAAAAACGTAGACTCGATGAAGTAGCCAGGATAAAATCCAAGCCAAATGGAAGTTATAAAGCACCCGACTTTGTCATTTTCCAAAGTGCGGGATTAATTGATGTTCAAATAACATAATATCCTCCTGTTTAAGAAAAAAGTCGGAATTCCATCGGGCCCACTGCAGATCTTATTTTGTTTTAACCGAGATTCAGCAGTGTCGTCATATAATTATGATCCGTTACGTTGAAGAAGTTTTATTGTAATAGTAGCAATTAATTTAATTATTATTAATTTTTCGCAAAGAATGCCAAAATATTGTTTTACGATATTACGATTTATTTCACCCTGCATACTAATAGTATTGGCCAATACCGATATTGATCATAAAGGACGATATTGCCGATAAATCAATACCGGTACCTGTCGATCTCTAATCTTTATATTATATTAGTCACCATCTTGGATACAAGCAACTGATAGAATCGACAATGTCTCAAGTTTGTCTCGGTTTACCCCTATTCACATTGTATAATGATGCAGACAGGTCCAAAGTAACCGATAACCAGCACGAGAAAAAATTTTTTATTTCGGTTGAAATCGCCCTGTACCTAATCGATAAAATAATTGATTTAAAACTTACCCCTTCTGAGTTGTCGAAGTTTGTGGCGCTTCACACTCGACGTTTAAGGGAGGCGGTGATATCCAAACTTCCTCAACACCTTTACACAAGACGTTTTCAGCTGTAACCTCTGGTTTGTCACAAACTTGCAGGGATTTAGTTTGATTGGTCTTGGGATCAATAATTTTAATCTTAGGGGGATTGGCTCTACAGAAAATTGATTTAAAATAATTTGAAGGTATAAGTGGAGATAAACCTAAAGTTTTCCTGCGAGTACGCGACTATTCGATGTGCCCCCTGATCACCAATGAAGCCCGTTTCCAAGCCCGCACGTTCTGCCAAAAATTGTATGTACCGATTAATGACAGGATCTAATCCCTCCGGAAACATTAAAACCCTGCAATATAATATAATTCAACAAATAATGTCGACGGGGGTGAGCAAAAAACAAAAGAATTGCACTTACAGCCGCTTCTTTCTGAATTTGCTAACTCTCAAAAAATTATTTAGTTCAGCTTCAACCATGTATAGTGGTGAGCTGAATGTGTGGCCGCGTGGAGCTCCGTCCATTTCTGAAAGACCGAACGTGACACTTAAATACCACTTCAACATTCGAGTCGAATTTGATTTTTAACACAAAAATAAAAATATCCGTGAAAATTTCCTATTTTTACAGGTACATTAATTTTAAGTTTCAAAATATAGGCCCTAATTTACTCTTGTAAAAATCGTGCTATTGAGGCGGGAAGCCTGGCGCCATTGTGTAAGCGTCTGAATGACGCCATAACAAATGCAAGAATGCAAGTAAGCACTTTTGAAATCAAAATGAAATTTAACACTGCAGCACATACAGTGACACTAAAGGTATTAAAGATCTACCCTTCTGATTATATTGTGAGTAAAAACATAATTAAACAAGAAATAAATGAGTACTCACTCAATAAAGTAACACAGGCGATTAGCACAACCCCTAAGTCCAATAGCTGAAACTGGAAAGACAAAGTCAAGGAAGGCACTTCAGCAAGTAGATCACACTGCACAGCAGCGCCCTCGTGGCAGAGAAACAAAGAAAGCTACTGCCAACCTCGGAGAGTACTTATGCAAAGTTGCTTTGTAGAATACTCACCTTTTAACGTCATTATACAACTATAAATGGTACACAGAAACTCTCTTATTAATTACAAAGAGGTAATTAGAAGAAATTCGAGCACTACAGAGGTTTACAATACAGATGACACATACTGCAATATTGGCAATACATTCCCGCTTATTTACAAAATTCGTTAAAAAACCTGCTTAAGCTACCGTAAATAATTACAAGTGTTGATTGTGATCGGTTCTTCGCCACTAGCTTTTAGGTTATACATCGATGTCGTTCTAGGTGTGTCACATTTAGACTCACTACGCCTTGTAACCTGAAACTAAATCTTATTGGGGGCTCGGTCTCAATTACTCGCGGAGCTCTAGTGTGTACGTCTGCCAAATCCGACTGCCGTTTGTGTAACCGAGCTTCCAGACAACTTGCATCTTGAGAGAGATGGGAATGCCTTTGTGCCGTGTATCAGTGAATTTGTTCCCAATCGTTGTGATCTACAGAGCCTATTTTTGAAATTGCAAATTGTCAGCTGACTTGGCAGACCAAACCACAAGGTCAAGGAAGAGCAATGGTCAAAAATGAGTTGTTCATTTGCTAGTTCAACAAAGAATTGAACATTGAAAACCATAAGATTTAGTTTAATTTATTACGAGTATTCTACTAACACATTCGTTACTTAGTATTAACAATAAATTAAATTGAAATTAAAACTATTGCTGTAGTACCTAAAGATCATTTCAGAACATGTAACAAAAGCCAGAAATGAGTTTATAAGACAAACACAATGACTCTTGGACAATTCACTTACGAAATAATAAGTCATACCACAGATATAAAATCCTACGCTATCGTAATTGCAATACACTTCTGAAAAATATTAGATTCTCTAAATGTTTCGTATAAAAATATTTGGCTGTACAATTTTGGCATAAAATCACATACAAACTTCTCCTAATTGCAATCACATTAATTTTGATACAATTAAATATCGTTTAAGTCCTTATCGTGAGATTTAATTGAAACGTACGGCACGCAGAGCTCAAAATCATTCTTTGGCCAATATTTTAGTGTCGCCTTTTCATGAGGCTTTTCTTCTTTGACAGAGAAGTAGGCGAACAAAACGCATGCAGTATAGGAAGCGAGGAATATAAATACATGCCACAAGCCATGCAAGTAAGGAAAGTTAATCGAAGACCATGCTTCACACAGTAGTCTATCATTAACCCAGCAAAATACAGCAACGGCCCACATTGCAGCGCAACGAACACCTAATCTGTACACCCTCATATCCCTAACTCTGAAATAAAAACAAATTAAAATAGTATAACATCGAGTCATTTTCTGTACCTACCTGTTCATTTCATGAAATAGCAATATAACAGATGGAATTCCCAGGCACATAAGTGCAAAAGCATTTATTGCTGGTTGTACAACTGCCAACACAGTGGCTACTACACATAGACAGATTGCGGCTAAAAACAGATTATGTCTGAAATATATAAGATTAACACTTCTCTATACTTTAACAATCACTCACCTATCATTTCCAATAAATGACGGGAACAGTCTTCTTGGAAGAAACATTGAAAATGCAACGAAAAATCCCCACAGTATCGCTACTTCATCCAACAACTGTCCAACTAAACTTAAAGTAGCATGAAAGTAAGCCGAACTCAGTCCAATGACAATAAGAATTACCCATATAAGGTGAATTCCGGGATTAACAAGTTTTCCATAGCCACGAAAAAGATGCATTAGCAGAGGTGGTAGTACCACATATATGATGTTACTGAACTAAACAGAGAATATGTTAAAAAAAACGTAGGTACTACCTATATGAATCACTTACAGTGTTTACAAACTCTGCAATTAATGGCGAGAATTTATAGTTGCCTTCACACCAATCGATAGGAGAACTTCCAGGTTCTAATGTTGCCCACATTTTAGTGAGAAGAGTTTGTTCTGGAACGAAATTAAAAGTTAGTTCTTAGTTTTCACTTAAGTTTACACAACAGGTGTTGATGGGAAGCAAGGACAGTCATTTGCAAAGAAAGATTCGTCAATCTTTGTTAGCTAACATGTATTAAGGTTAAGATCAAAACTGCAAAAAAGTTAAGATCACCAGTTTTGCACACAACCTTACACGAAATTTTGAAAATACTCTTGTTGGTCTGAAATTTGTGGCATATTGATACTTGGCCCTTACAACAGTTCAGAGTAAAGCCAGATCTAGAATGGCCGTATAAATAGGTACCCAAAACCAAAAATTCTATTTTTCCTGTAATTGCATTTTTAAAAATTTTTAAAAAAGGTAACTCCTGACCAGTTTGTGACTCCTCCGCATCCATAGATAGTTGTTGGTCTGCACGACAACTCAAAATTTGCGCTTGGAAACGACGTTTTCAGACCAATACGCCGTATTCTTGTGCGCATGCGTACATATTCACCTTTCTTGTTACCAGCGCCTACTTTTTCACTCCAAGAAAAACGACAAGAAACTTTTTTTCGCTATAGAAATTCCCCGGATCCCGCAAATGCGATTTAAAAAATATCTGTCGGCGTGTCTACTTGATGCTATCAAGTTGGAATTTGGTAGAGATCTGCAACTCTTTTTGGTGAAAATCGGAAAACGCGATTTTTACAAATAAATGTTAAAAAATACCTACTAGTATAATATAAATTAAACCTGGTAGAGACGTTTGTCACTCCTTACTGTCTTAACGAGGGTACCATAACTGTCATAATTGATTTTTGTGAAGATCGTGAGAGAAGGGGTACTCACAAAGTAAAAATGACAGATATGTGGGCAAGATGTATCTGTTTGAGGGCGCCCAAACTTTAAACTCGAAAATTTCGAAAAAGTGTGGGAAAAGAGCACTCATGTAGGGAAAATGGAACCTCTAAAGAAGATGTATCTGTTGCTGGTGGTCAATATCTCAAAAACGGCGTGTCAAAAGAGAGTACTCTCAACCCTGTTACATAGATAATAATAATAATGGTTTTTATTGATCAGGAAAAAATATGGTTCCTACACCATAACCAATAGGTTCAGGGTCAGATAAACCAGTAGGTTATCTGTTCTTCCCCCTGTACCCCTAGACACATAAAGCATATATTTATACACGTAGATTCTACAAAATAAAACAATTAGCAGAATTCAATTTTGATTGAAAACAAGCACAAATCTACTAAGTAACTACCTACCAACAAAGGAAAGAAAAAAAATAAAACAAAACAATAATAAAATTATGTTAAATTATGTTAAATTTCACCCTCTGATTAATAATTTTTTAATTTTCCGTTTAACGGCATCTTCGGACAGGGGCAATAACTGCCTGTACACCGAATTAATACAGAATTTGCAGATGTTAAATGAAAAAGAGCGTTGAAACATTGCTAAATTGTGCATAGGGATGGAAGCACATAAAAGTGTGGTTATTAAACTTTTCAGCAAAGTGGGAGTCTAAAATCAACAAACCTACACAGAGTAGAGGTCTTCATCTCGCTCGATATTAAAATAGTGGTTATTAAACTTTCAAGCAAAAGCGAGAGTTCTAAAACCAGGCAGGGTAGAGCTCTGATGGGGTGAATAAATTTGTGCCAAAATTGCTCTTGGATCGCTAATCGACAAAATAAATTTGTTATTGAACTTTTCTACAAAAGATACAGTTTTGCACAAATTTACTCCCCCCATCAGACCTTTACTCTAACTGGGGTTGTGCCGAACTTTCTTATCACATCGATACAGGTTTGATGCTATCGAGTAGAAATTTGGTAGAGATCTGGAACCCTTTTTGGTGAAAATCGAAAAACAAGTTTTTAGGTTTTCACGATTGTATCTGTTGAAAACTTTAAATGCGGATATTTCAAAAGTTAAAAAAGTAAACGTAAACGATTTACAAAAAGCGCATTTCCACTTGCATTTATTTCCCATTTGTAAGATGCAACTTCTGTTAAAATCGTAAAAATGCGGCCACAAATATGAAAGATAGCGTTGCAAATGTGCAATCCATTTTTGACGTGCTACTTCAATTTCAGTTTATAAGAAGAATTTCAATGCTTTCATAAATAAGAAAGTTGGCACTGCACATGCGCAAAACTAAATTTTGAAACTGGCGTTATATTTTCTTTTATTCCAAGTGCCTATGTCTCAAATTTCATTTAAATGCTTCCATAACTAAAAAAAGTTGGCACTGCGCATGCGCAAAACCAAATTTTGAAACTGACGTTTGATTTTCCTTTATTCCAAGTGCCTATTTATCAAATTTCGTTTGAATGCTGCCATAAATAAAAAAGTTGCGACTGCGCATGCGCAAAACCAAATTTTGAAACGGGCGTTAGATTTTTATTTATTCCAAGTGCCTATCAAATTTCATTCCTTCATTTCATTTAAATACTTTTATAAAAAAGTTTGTAATTCGGTTTATAAATGGTCGAGATGCGAAAAGGGCACTGTGAATTTTGAATCGATTTGACTCAACTTTTGGCATTGCGAATTATATGGCTGCAGCTATTCCCATATTGAATTACATGCAATTCAGTTCATAACTAACGGAGATGTCAAAGCGATCGGACATTTCTAAACAAAGTTATCGTTCCCACGGACAGATAGATGGACAGACAGACAAAGGAACAGACGGACAGACAGCAATACAAAATTATAAACGACCTCTAGGATCGTTAATAAACGACAAAGGTGTAAAATTAAGGAACATGAAAAAAATGGTTTTTTGTTTTTTTACAATAACTTTTTTAGCAATAAACGCAGAAAAAAATTCCTTCCTTGGTGCAAGCCTCGACACCATAACTAACCAAATAGCGAAAAAAGTAGAACAATAGCTCTTAAGATAAAGGACTAGTAGCGTCCCAACGAATGCCCAGCGCATTTTTTATTTTTGTGAAAATGCGCTAAAAAGTCTGGGAAGAGAGCACTCATATCGGTAAAATAGATTCTCTGAAGAACATGTATCTGTTGCTGGTCGTCAATATCTCGGTAAAGGCGTGTCGGAAGAAGATACTCCCAAAGGAAAAATGGAACATTTGAAAGAGGCGTATATAATAGTGGTATCAGAAATGAACGTGTAACAACTCACAGTCGAAAGAGAGTAGGTACTTGCAAAGGGAAAATCTCTAAGGCGCAGTACAATCTTTGGATCAGACGTAGGTATGTGGTGAAAGTTTTCAGTGCGAATATCTCACGAACAAGTGTTGAAACAGGGTACTATAAAGAAAAATCGCATATGTGAAAAAGATAGATAGCCTTGGACGTTTTGTTAAATCGAAACCGCCAACTCGAGGCGCAACCACATCTCTGGTATCACCAATGATACGACGAGTAATTACACAGCGGTTGCAGCCATCGATACCGAAATCCTCGTCCAAGTCTCCTCCGGCCGAAAACAAGCACTCAGCACTGCGTCCCAATTACTTCTACATCGTCGTAATAGGAGGTCCATGCATCGGGGACGTTATTGTGGCTGTCACGATTGCCACAACAGCATCGGGCGATTTTAACGGACAGTTCAGATAACCATGGCCGCCAAGCTGCACGAAGTATGCGACCAACGCGTTATTGCAGAAATCGGTAGATCAAAAGCGAAAGCTTATGGAACCATCACCACCTGATTGGGAAACTGCAATTTCCCGCCATCTCCAGTCGAGCACTTGACGGCCCGAATCAACACCCTCCATACACAAGATCGAGGCGACAACAATCACTGGCAGCGAAAACGCTCGCATTCCCGATCTTCTAGAAGCAACTTCGCTACAGGCGTCATATAATGGTATCACCGTCGGCGCGGTGTCCGAGAGAAAAAATGTCCGGATCCCTGTTCGTAAAAGACTGCCAGTCCGGAAAACTAATGTCCTCGCCGCCATCCACGGCACTATGCGACGACACCCCCGCCACCTCGCCGGACATAATCCCACCGCTCGGGCCGAATTCGCCCGCATGATAGAATTAGGAATCTGCGGACCTTTTCATTCCCCCTGGGTCTGGGTGAGCCCGCATCTCCTCGTTCCCAAGAAGGAGGCCATGTCCAGAACTCTAATGGCAACTACATCTGGTCAGAGAACAACCCGAGGAATAACCTTTCAAATGACCAAGCCCACAAGCCACAACCCCACGTCGTTGAATTTTTCAAAGTGACCACCGCATCTAAGGGAAAGGGGATGCAGTATATGAATGGAAAATGATATTTGACGTATTCGACATTTTTTTTAATTGTTAGGAAACTGATTTATTAGAGGTGCAAACTGCAAGGTTTATTCGAGACACCCTGTATATGTCTGTCGTCTAAAAACCGTAGGACAGACAAACCACCAGACATGACTTTCTTTTTGATGGAATAGTATTTAGGTACAGAGAAAACCACGAAAACGAACGCCTACACAACGACGTACTCACGGACGCACATAAAGGCCCATTCTGATTCTCACTTTAAGAAACGCGTCGCAGCGCAGCATTTGCTGCAGCCAAATTCTCACAGTAGCAGCGCGTTGTAGCAGTAGCGCGGCGCGTTATCTAACAGTCGGAAGAGCATTGTATGCGTTCGCTGCTCCGCTGCTCCGGGGTGAGATGCATAAGTGCGCAATAAAGCATTTTGCACAAAAGTCAGTATAACCATCATCGTGATGGAGGGTAAAATGGACATTGTTCAGCGGGTCTTCCAATAATATCTCGTACAGTAAATGGATTTCGTCTTCAGAAAAACGCGCCCTATAAATTTTGTGCACCCTGTATATTCTCTTCTTTGTTTTTTTAGTTTATTGTTCAACTTCCACCGTCATTGCCACAGCAAGCATTTTATCATCACTAGATGAACTACTGGATGAAGCCCTATGTTCTAGAGAAAATATCTCCACTGTAGTATTTATTTTTAGAACATACAGGGTGTAGCATCTAAGACACCTCGGATCATAATTCCTTTCCCACAAAAGATACCGGAAAAACTCTTAAGAGCAATTAACTGTCGCCATGTTTCTAAAATATTTTTGCCTAGGCGCGTGCTATATTCCAGTGGCGTATCAAACATCACACTTGCTTTTTTTTTTAATGGAACACCCCATATTGTATTGGATAATTCGAAAGTATTTGAAAAGTACGTTGTTTTATGTAACATGTTATACCTTTAACTTTAAAGATTTCGCGTTTTTCCTCAAAATTTGTAGAAAAATTCGGTTTACTAAAAAAAGTGTTGGGTCGATTTACAATTACAAAAAATTAAAAAACCGCATCCTGAACTAGCATGCCCTAGACAGCGCCCTGAGGCGATACACCACGGAAAGCGGCATAATTCTCCCCCGCGTGCCCTCGGCAAGTTTGATACGCCACTGGAATACAGCACTCCCCTGGTAAAAAATATATTTTTAAAACATGGCAATTTTTCTCTAACAACTTTTCCGGTTTCCTTTATAGTCCAGTAATTATGATGCCAGGGGTCTTAAATACTACCTACACCCCATATAATCCATTTATTTATTTAAAAAAATCCTGCACCTAACGATTGAACGAGAAAAAATTATGGACATTTCATGCCTTAACAAACATTAAATCATTTTTAATTTCTGATCGAATGACACCAATACCAAGTCTGTAAGTGGTGTAGTTCCGGAGCCCTTGTGACTCAGACAGGACATAAGGAGCGGAAAAGTGCACTTTCTATTTTTTGAAAGTGCACTAAAAATTACAGTTTTAATGAGTGTCTCCATTGATTGTTCGACATTATTTAAATTAAACGATCGCCAATAGTCGACTGCACATTCGCCCCTTCTATATTTAATGGTCGTATCACTGACCATACTTCGCAAAGGGTGGGCGATTCGATAATATTGAACATTTAAAAGGCGCAAAACAGACCGTACAGTACAGTTGTTCTCCAGAAATGCCGGGAATGAAGCAAATGGTTGTTGCGGTATTCGTATATAGCAGGCTCGTTGTCACGTCGGAAAACTCCATGGCGTTTTTGTACAATTTTGCAAAAAAAATTGAGATCTTAAACCTGCAAATAAACTAATGTCCACCTCCGCATTTTTTTGCGAAAAAAAACTATTCATGCAAAGAATCGAACCCGAGCCGCCCAGTTGCAAGCCAAGTGTCTTTGCCACTAGGAAATTATGGCACACGTTCAATAGTTATTAAACACATTCCCAAATATTTGTGAGAAGGGTCAATTTTCCCAGGCATGCGGACGCGTCTGCCGTTTACAAAAATGCTTACCTGCCTCCTATTAGTGTATGCAACAAAGCAGCCCTCGTATAATAAATTACTAGAATGCATAGCGCCTACAAGGACGAACACACCACTGACAGACGGACACAGTGAATAGGTGCGAAATTTTGTTAAATACGGTAAACTACCCACCATGAAGGGAAGCCGCTTAGCTGTACTCAATTTCCAAAAAAGCTAAGAGAGTTGGACACAAAACCAGAAAAAAGGATGCGGATACATACCTACATCACTCATTGTAACAAGCACCCTTTTCACAGTTGAAGAAATAGCAACTAATAGCAAAAAATTAATAACAATTGAAGAAATTTTCTACTTCACGAACTGCTGTGTAGGTGCAGGTTTTCTTTCTACACCTACATGTTATAATCAATGAGTTATCTTGAATGGTAGATTAAATTAATTATATTATTAATTAAATCCTTAATTTATAACAAAATAACGCTACTAAAATATCTCGAGCGGAACTCGTTATCTTTCTCAAATGTTACATAATTAAATATTTACCTAAACTAAGAGGAAAGGAAGGCATCTTCGGCGCGTCTTACCACTTCAAACTAGAAACCCACAAGAGCCAGAAAACCTTGTGTACGTTGAACTCAAAATATAAGCAAAAGAAAAGCAAGATTTATTTTTAGAATCTCTTTGTTTATAAAATGACAAAAAACTACAGCAGCTCTCGTGCTAGCTACGTAATTCACGTATTTATCGCATCAGCAATAATTCGCGGAAACTCAGTTACGCGTTTTTTAAACATTACTCTTATCATCTAATGTGTAACAATAAACAAAACTGGCCCAGGCAAATAACATTCGCATTATTGTACATTTATATAAAATCACGAAAGGCACTTACGCTAGGTCAATATTCCCGGTCTTTTTGTTTTACGTAGCGCATAATTATACAAAAGTACCGGCGATATAATTCCGCAGGCGGAAACGTCGCACCATGTTTGGAACGAAAGCTTTGTTCACACAGGTCCATTTAAACACGTTCCGCAAGCCATATTTACGATGTAATTGATTCGTCGCAGATAATTAAAACGTCTTTGATTGGATGAGAAAACAAGTACTTATGCAGGTTTTGTTCACTTTGCATTCTAAACCTGAGCTCGATTGCATTCTTTAATGTTTCCGCAATTTATCAATAGAGGCAGTTTTAAATACTCGGGGTTGTATTGATTTTTTAATGAATTGTAGGGCTACAGGTTTCTGCAGGGGCTGTTTTTAAAATTCCCCGTACAATATCAAATTAACATTGGTGCCATCACTGTGGACAGGGCAGGAAATGTAAGCACATGTTCGAGAACAAAAGAAACTACAAACAGCACCGAGACCTAGTACACGGCAGTCTCAAAATGTATCTAACGCTAAATCAATTGTTGATGATATACCTACGTGAATTACACAAATTAATGCTAAATATTTGTTAATTACCTTTGTTATTGTTTAAACAAATAAATTTAAATGTTAAATAGATCTCATTTTTAATATTCGTTCAACTCCTTGCGTTTTTGAACTGGTAACTGTGCGTGGTGGGATTTTGGGGGTTACGCCAAATCTTCCCTCATGTAATTAAATGCCAAGAAGCCAAATTGGTTTATGTTTGACGTTTGGAACATTACAGATTTTAATATGTGAAGGTTCTCATTCAAATTCATTTACTTTATAGTATAAACCACCAAAATTCTTATACCCTCGCTTTCCTCCGTGTCTATTTGCATGGTTGTGGGTACGTTAAAAGCTAAACGGTTTCTTAACCCCGTAGACGTCTTTGGGGTTTAGATGTTAGTCTTTTTCAATTATTGTTACCTATCTAAATAAGGGCCAATATTTAGATAACAATAATTAATTACGCTACCAACAGTCACATTTAATATATTCTAAAAACTATCATACTTTTAACTCAAAAATCCCTACAAACTTAATCACATATCTGTTTATTAAGTGCCTTTGGATGGTTGTCAGGCTGGCTACCTACTACGTTTATGATAAGGATAACATACCTACATACTAAATGAACTACCAGTAATAGCTCCAAAGTTGGATATTTATATATTTAGGGTAGATACTAACATGATCATTTTATGTGGTAAATGGGTAAATTAATCATAAACTCACCGCTACGATTATGTATCATACTTGTATTGAAAATTCGGCACCGACAGAAATTTTATATAACAATTAGGTACTAAGGATGACGGAATCAGTCTTAATGCTATTTTATAATTCAAATCGTGATCAGTATTAGCATGAATTTTACTTTTGTAATGAGATGAACGAAATTAAGGTAAAGTATTTATATCTCTTGATTACCGCGACGAAAAAGATCTCAGTTATCTAAATAATGATAACAACTGAGATTTTGTAAGTATAGACAAGTATGTAAGTGCATTTATCTTATTATTATCTACATATCAATGACGCGCTAGGACTATGCCCCCCCCCCCCCCAAGTACAAAATTAATTTCATTCGCGGAAGCACCGTACGGATCGGAAGCACCATACTGTAATGTAAAATAGTCTGCTTACTACGCCATCAGTATATACCGCATGTGACTAACTCTTCTTTCATTCGTTAGGGCGTTAGGCTCAAACAGTTCAATTTGGAATACAAATTGAAGGAATAGCAGCTCAAGGCATAAAGAAGAAAATTTGTACAGTTCTGAGCGATGCCTCACTCCTCTTAATGCAGAAGAAGAACCCTCATCAAAATCATCAGCCAGCATTGAACTTCAAAATTAACAAACGACTGCACTGTGTCATAAGACAATTTCGTGGCAATACCTAACGCTCAGTGCAAGTAAGTTCTAATAAAGGACTTAAAGGAAATATTCCCTGGTAACAGTAGGGTAGCATAAAGTAACGGAAAATCATCGTCAAATATGAATAGGATCAAAGTACAACAACTGTTTTGTAGTCTCTAGTTCGCCCACTTGATGCGTCAACTGTAACATATTTAACCTAAAACAACCAGGCAATATAGAAAAAAGCAAATGCCGTCCTGCAGGAGAAGTTCCATCGTATTCTCCCAAAAGAACCTAAAAAAAGTGACCTTCCAAAAAGAGATCAAGTGGCCATCTTCCACTTATATGATAAATAATCTTACAATCTCGAATGCCCAAAGAAAGAATCTATACTTTGATACAGTATAGCTATGCGAAATGAATACATGGAAGATCCAGGGAAAATCCAAACCCTGAAAACCCACGAAAGCAGCTAACGATATGTAACGTTTGCCCGATTATACCACCCCACACGGTCGTTATATACGCGATAGTCGATAAAGCTGGTATAAAACTGAAATTACCTATAAAGTTTATCAAAGTCGGTCAAGCAAAACCGTTGCTGCAACACATACTTGTTTTCGACGCACAATAAACCGCGACCCTGACAAAGCCGTTATCAGCTAATACCAGATTCTATTAACATAAACTACTAACGGGAAATAATTTAGAATATTCTTATCTAAGGAAGCTATACCATGAAATGCTTCCTGTGCAAAAACACCGGTCACGCAGCAAAAAAAATGCCCAAAGATCAAGTTCAGCAACAACAAAAAACCCAGGTAAATTTCACGATCAAATACAAATCGAACAAAACAATGCCCATCAACGATTTTAACTATCAAAAGCTCAACGCAAAAGAAAAAATCAAAAAAACAAACTTTCCGAAGATGAAACTGAAAGGAAATGAAATGAAACGAATACCTCAACACTCATCCCAATATAAACTCCAAAAATCCAATGACCACCAAAAACAATGTCATACAACTAATATCTGATCTGCGCAAATAATGCACCAAATAATGCACCCAAAGGAATTCACATATTGACTTTCTAAAAAGAAGATTTGACGACACATCTCTAAGCATAAGCAACATAACATTAGAACTTAGCCAAACGGTAAGGTTCATAGGGACTGAGATTGATAAAGAGTTAAAATGGGCTGCACACACAGATATGGTTCGAAAGAAATTAGCAAAATCATACTTTGCACTATATCAATTAAAAATCTTTTGTCTACTAAACATGTACTATGGTTTAGTGTACTCAAATTTAACATACAATATTGCCATATGGGGTAAAACTCAAAACTTAAAACAATTAATAAGACAAAAAAGAATAATTCTCTAATAATTATACGATTAAACGAACTTACCTAAGTGAAGTTCGATCGTAATTATATGAGGCGTCCAGTCCGAATATATTATCTTGATTATTTACCATGTAGTCCGCTCCCAGCGCTACTCTGCGTGCACCATAATAAACTAAGAAAGCAAACTTACTCCCTTTTCCCCTTACCACGTCTAAGCGGCCACCGCCGGAAACCCGTTACTCATTCTTTAAAGAAGTGTTTACTATGAGCAACTTGGGGTACTTTCGAACGGGAGGGCGGGAAGATAATATATTCGGACTGGACGCCTCATATAATTACGATCGAACTTCACTTAGGTAAGTTCGTTTAATCGTATAATTATATTCGCGTCCAGTCCGAATATATTATCTTGATTATTTACCATGTAGATGTTCAAAGAAAAAAAGTTGCGAATAGAAGAACACCCCACACAGGTAATCTTGTGAAAAAAATGTATTATAAAGATACATTGTTACAGTAAACTAAGTCAGAAAATAAAGTAATTCTAGAAAAAAAAAACTTTAAATGGAAAACGTAACAAATCGAAGTTAATAACTTCGTAAAGCTTAGGTAAGTATAAATTAAATGTATGTAGATACACTTATACATAATTCAAGGTCGTTTGGATAACCTTAAGATTGCATTGGCAAAAGCAGTTTTATCGCCAAGGGGTCGATTGTAGAACTTAGCGAACGTCCCTGTTTGCTCTGACCATCCTACGGTTCTACATATTGATTCTAAAGAAACCCCTTGTCTTAAAGCAGCTGAAGAAGAGGAGTGCCTCGTAGAATGAGGTTTGAATCTTGAAGTATCAATGCCAGCTGAGCCTAAGGCATGCTTAACCCATTTGCTTAATGTTTGTTTAGATGCAGTGGAATGAGGTCTCTTAGTTGTGACGAACAAAAAGTCTTGATTCGGTGCTCTAAGGGGCTTTGTTGTTGCGAGATACTTCTTTAAAGTTGACGCTACGCAAAGACTGGGCTTTTCACTGTAGAACGGAATATGAAGCGTGGGCTGTTCCTTATTAAGTCCTGATGTTTTTATTGGATCCGTGATATTAATCTGGATTTCCTCCTGACTTTCACTTATATTTGAGAGCCTAATCAGGGAAAGAGTTTGAAGCCGACCTCCAGTAATAAGCGCCAATAGAGTAATTAACTTTTGAGAGAGCATTCGGAGGCTCAATTCCTTCGGTAAACCTTCGAAATACGACAGCAGCAACTGAGGATCCCATGTGTTTGAATATCTTGGTTGAGAAGGCCTTAAACGAGACATTCCTTTCATGAATCTTTTAATGATCGGATCTGAACCTAGATCCTGATTTAAAATAAGGCTTAGTGCCGATCTATGGCAATTAATAGTTCCGTATTTGGTATTATGCTTCTCCGAAGTTGTTTGTAGAAGGGTCACCACCTCCTTGATCGAAGGTTGAAACACTGGGGTCTTCTCTGCCAGACAAAAGGCCCACCAAAGGCGGTAGGTTGAATTATATTGTTTAAATGTAGATTCCGCGATCGACGCCATCGTG